CATGTAGATTAAGCCCCCAAAGTTTCAGTCCCGTAGCTTTTGCCGGTCTCGAGATGAAAAATCGGTGCAAACGCGCAGCGAACACACAGACACAAACACACACACAGAACAACTTCTCGTCAATATGCGTTTTTCGCATTGCATTGCTGCAAAAAACGCATAAAAAGTAGATCGATCCGAGTTTAACACAAAGCAATAAATCGAGCTGCCTTGTGAGCCGTTGAAAATAGCGGATAAAAAGTGTCCAGCGTGGGACCACTAAGTTTTAGCATAGAACCAGTTGTGAGCAGTGCAAGGGATCACTTCTGTAAGCAATAAATCAGCCAATTAATTACGGTAAAAGCAAAGAATAACCTGATACGTAACAGAAAGTTGGTGAAAAATTCTATGCCAAACCATGGATGCTGCATAATCGGTGTCTGCTACAACACGCGGTTCAATCACAACAAATTCACCTGCAGATTACTGAGATCACCAGCATCGTACTATTTTTAAAGCAGCATGATGAGCTAATTTAATAACCTTGTCCGAGAGTCGAAAATACAGCCCACGTTGCTTTGCGATTTGGTGGCGCCAGCGGATTCTTTAAATAGTATTTACCGCGGCTCGCAGGAACCTTCAAACTCATTAACCTTACACCATTTGCTTTAAATTTAAGAAACTTTCAAAAAAAAAATACCTCGAAAGCAGTAGAGAGTGTGACATTGAATGTCGATCCTGGCTCCAGATTTCGAAGGACGTACTCTGGATTTGAACCATCTTCGTTGTGATTGCTTATAGAGACTTCACGTTCACGGCCACTAACGGAATGCAAGGTTCTCGCGCGGATCTGCTCAGTGCTAGTAATTTTTGTAATATTTCTACAGATGCATCATCCACATAACAAGTTTCAACAAAAACCTTTTTTAGTTCCAGATTTTATGCTAGTTTCTTTAAGACAACAACTGAAATATTTTTCCTATTAAAAAAGTGAAATAAGGCTGAAAACTAGGATACTGTGTAAGGTTCAGTCGCAGCGGGCAGCCACGAAGCTGGCCATGTAAGTGTCAATGAATTTGGCGTTCGTGCTTTCAACTTCAAAACATTTTCTTCTCCGTAATCGAGGGTCGAAAAACACGCCCAGCCAAGGTCACCGTATCCAAAATCAGTTCCTGCCTGAACAGCTTTTTAGTTGATACATTTTTCGCCTCAGAACTTCTTAATAATCAGCATTTGAAAATATCAAGCAAATGAAGGCGACGAACTTGAAAATAAAAACATTAGATTTACCGCAGTAATTTTTTCAGGCGTTTTTTAATAAAAATAAAAATGGCACTCGACCTTGATGGTCACATTGTAAACTGTTCGCGGTTCCAGGTTCTCCAGCACAACACGAGTGCTCGGTAATCGAATTGACAGTCGCTGTCTGTGTACCGCTGATTTGGTGAGACGATTGAATTCGAGCACACTCACCTGACGCATATTTTAACAGAACCAGCACAGTTCTCTTTTTTCGTTTGATGATCAGTGATCACTAATTTTCATTTAGTTCAAAACTGCCACTAATTATGAACAAACGTTTGAACAGACCAGATGTTGGTTGAGAGTTGCTTGCTGACTGGATGTGGCCACAGTGGGTACAATCCATGTCACTTCTAGACTGTTCCACGATTTATCAGTTAACATTATATCAGATGGTGCCGGAAGCCAATCAAGTGCTTAATCAGTCGGATTATTAATTAGAAATGTATGCACAAAAATACTGTTAAAACAATCTCATAAAAATTAAGAGAAAATTTGCGTACCAGCAAGAGAAGTCGTAATGAGAATGCTACTGTAGAGGACACTCTCATGGTCAGCAAATCCTTCGATGCTCACGCGATAAGTTGTATTTCCAAGCAGATTATTAAATGTATAGAATATTGTGTTCGGCGCTACCGTATCCACTTTCACCACCGTTCTAAGCGACCCTTTAAAAGCAGTATGTGCAGGTTGCTCGTATCCCGCAAAATAAAACAGATGCCAAATATTTAAAAATAAACAATTTTTGAAGTTGCCTGCTACACCGTAGTAACACTTCGGACGAGGAGGGAAATCCTTACTAGAGAGGGGAGAAGGAGGCGACGAGGAAAAGGAAAGTAGTTAAGGGATAATAGAAGAAAAGCCCAGAATAAGAAATACTGGCTGATTAAAAGGTTTTCTCTAAAAGGCAGCATACTGATGGCAGTCTGATTTCTCGACATCCTAGGTACATTACTGCCAGTTTACCAAAACAGATCAGGAGGTGCAGAGGGTCTGTTTTTCGGCGCCGGATTCAAATCAACGATTCGAGCCTCGTGGTAAGCACAATCAGCACTTGACTAAACCAACCAATGATTTTGCTTGCCACTGCTTCCTTCTATCAGAAAGAGTCAAACACATCAGAAAATTTTGTTTTTGAATTAAAATTTTGAATTTTAACTTTCATGATTCTTCCAACGCAATGCTAAAAGTAAGCGCTCCGAAAAATCCTTACTGCACTTCTGTTTGGGAATGCAATGCTCCCCACCTTTCAAAGCAGTGGCCATAAGCCGTAAAGCAGTCAGTGTTTTGAGTGTATAATGTGAAATTTTCCATCCAAATTTGACATAATCATTTTCTACCTCCAGCACTTCTATCCGTGTTTCCTCGTCCTCATACTCATCATATTCTGCAAAAAACGTTTTTCAGTGAAAGCTTTTTCCAGCTAATGTCAGAATTAGAGTCAACCCCCTCCTTCTCGCATTCGTCCACTATTAGAGATGGAAGCAAGTACCAACAAAAGCCACTCGCTGGCAAGGCTGTCAACGGCTTCCTCCTTCATAGTTTGCTTAGAATGAGGTTGATGGCAGCCAATCACAGCTGAGCTTTTTTTTGCACAAGTCAAAAAATCTTTATAGTAGGATAGTGCGTATGTACGCACACAGATTATCCAGATAATTTATCCAAAGTAGTGCGAGTAATAAAAAATTACAAACGTAGTGGTCGACCACACGCTTGATTAAAAACTCAGAATTAAACTTCATTTTCTTACATGTTTTGAATTCGTTCCTTAATTCTAAAATTTTGGCCATTGTTGGAATTGAAGAAAACCACAAGCTTAGAATTTCAACAATGCAGTTAACCGATAAAGTTGCTCGAAATCAAATTTGGGAGCTCACGGTGTACCGCCCGACGATCTTAGATAGGAAATTACGCTAATATTACAAAATTAGCTTGGGACACACTTAAGCCCCCAATTTTAAAACATTCCTTCAGGCCCAGAACTCAGTGGGTTGAGCTATCGGCTCAAATTTAAACTATCTTTGAAATCCTGAGACTCCGTAAGCTGGGAACTAGAGATTTTGGTGGACTAATATCACCAAATAGGATACAAAATCACCGTGTCATAGTCCAGCAAAAGTTTGCCTGTACCCAAGCACTGTGCATTTGCAGTAGTCAAATAATTTCAAAATGCAGAGAGAAAGTTTTGACCAAAATTTTCATTAAAGCTCTGGTTTCTTTCACAACATCCTATTATTCTACCAAATTTTTTATTCCTTGGCTTGTTGAATTCAATATGAATGCAATTTTTCTCAAAAACACACATTTTTAGATCAGTCTGAAGTCACGAAAATTTTCATAGCGAGATATACATGTATTAATCTATTAGTTCATTTATTTAGTTTTGCACATTTTTATAACATAATTCCCTATCATAAGAAAATAAAATTCTTTTGTCCAAACTTACTTCCCGAAAAAATTATTTATTTCTCGGTACTTTAAATTAACAAATGCGATAATTAGTAGACCTGATTATTCTTGCCTTGGGATAAGTCATCCGTAGCTGTTAAATGTTGCGCAGACAGCACGGTGAAGGCAATAAAAAGGCCGAAAATCTTAGTAAACGAACTGAGCTGAAAAGTTCGTTGTCTCCAGTACGGTTTCCTGGCAGTGGTGCCCATCGAACTGGAAGCTAATACTCTGCAAATACCGTCACTTTACTAAATTTCTACCCAACTCTGGTAAATATTCGTGGAAATAAAAAACTTTTCAAAAAACCATTATCTTTTATGTGAAATTTATGCCGCATGCTCGAATAAGTTGTAAGAAACTCTATCAAAAAGGATACTGACCGTGTGTTTGGTAACGACCACCTTTGCTCTCGATTGCAGGTACAACAAAACCAAAGAACGACTGTCGGGACGGACATCATTTTCAGTTTCTTTTTTTTTAGTTAAAAACCAGTTTGCTTTTTGCGCCAACGTGCCCATTTGCAAATAAATGATAAATTTTTATTAAAATGAAAAATACCTTATATATGATATGTAGTACACTGATCGAGTTATGAGTACAGCACTGACACAGCAGTATGACATTACACATTTCTCTAAAAAGTATTACTTACACTGAAGACATTTACTCTATCATTTCAAGCGCTGCACTATCAGGAGTTGTGCAAAAAAAAAA